TCAGCTTGAAAGTGGGGTGGGGATGGGGTGGGGCGTGGGGTGAGGTGGAAGGTGAAGTGAAATTTAAGAAGTAATAAAAATAAAATAAGTCAAAAAGTAAAAGAGAGAAAAAAATATTATATTTTAAATTAAATTAATATGTGTCACGTAATGATTGGTGTGTGATATCACTTGCCTTTTAAAATCTAATATTGATCAAAAAATGATGTAATAATATCATTTCAAAATTATTTAGGGGGTAATAAGACACTCACATAGTTAAAATGTCTGTTTGAAAATTCGAGACAACTTCATGTGTAACTTTAAGTCTTTCTTCTTACTAATATGTACAAAAGAAAGACGGAATATGTAGAGAGATATTTAAAAGTAGGGACTTACTATCCGTTTGGACTAACTTATTTTTAGGTGTTTTTGACTTTTCAGTAGTTTTGATTTTAAAAGTGTCTTAAAAGATTATAAAGTGTTTTTAAGCATCCATCTTTAGGACAAAATTTTAAAATAAGTTAAAATTCAAAAGTAAACTACTGTCTACTTGTAATTTTTAACTTGTTACTTTCTATAAACTCATCCAGGCCCTCAGTTACTTCAATTAAGATAGGTATTTTAATTGAATACTTAACCTATTGAAAAATCGTCTTACTAGGTTTTTCTTTTGATAATTGGCAAAGCAAAAAAAAAGGATATTATAATATACTCACTGATGTGGCAAAACAACTAATTAATTAATTACATGGGCACTTTGAGTTTTAAAAAAACATAAAATATTGTTTAAAAATAAAATATTTTATAAATGAAACTTAACTATTTAATATATTTGTTTTTGTCATCCAATTTTAGGCACATATTTAAATTCGAGGTTACCCTTCAGTGCGGCCCAGTGGTTTGAGCTTGGAACTTTCATATTGGATGTCTCGAGTTTGAAACCCCTTGCCAGCGAAAGTAAGGAATTTGCCTTCTGGGCGAGTTACCTCTCCTATATGATTTGTGAGTTATTGCATAGAAGTTGAGTTTTTACCCTGTGAGCACTCAAACGGCAGTGGATGCAGATTGGTTTGCAGACACAAATATATCAAAAAAGGTAGCGATTGCGGGTTAAATTGCAGAGACAAGTATATCAAAAAAATATAACAAAGGATAAATATAATTTTTTTTTGTGAGAATACAAAGACAAATATGACTCTTTTCCGATTATTAAACTTATCCCGCTTATGAAACTAAGCTAGTGGAAAAGCTGTGACCCCTCCCTCATTGAACAAAAGGTATTCGTAGGACATACACACCCACGTAACTATAGTGTTTGTTTATTGTTTTCTTAATAGATATTTTTTTTTGCAGCCTTCATAGTTGATGAAATGAATGATTAATAGGTAGATCAAATAAATCTATAATCGAGAAAAAGATTGTCAAGTAAGTGAAATTGTATTTGGCTAGTCTCCTAATCCTCTAAGTTCTGCCAAACATGTAAGGAAAAGGTACAAGTACCTCTTAGACAATGACCGAAAATGCAGAGACACATCTTAACTAAACTAATGCCCTATTACCCCCTAAACTCATTTTTTTTTATAATCTTGTACATCTTTTTGGCTTACGTGGTATCCAAATATCTACCACGCACCTCAATTGTGTGGAGACGACGTGTGCCACGTAAGCCCAAAGGTGTACAAAATTATATAAAAAATGAGTTCAAGGGGTAATAAGACCTTAGTTTAGTTAAGGTGTGTCTCTGAGATTTCAGTCATAGTTTAGGGATACTTGTGCCTTATCCCAAACATGTATGTTAAATATGACGGTTTGTTCTTGATTTCTTATCATATTACATGTCGTCAAGTTAGTGCGATCATTTTAAATAAATACAATTTTCTTTATCATAAAGATAGATAAAATTATAATGATAACGAAAATTTCTATGTTAAAATACATCATAATTTATCTATTTAAAGAAAGACGAATCATGAAACTTTTCTTTTCTTATGACCGAATTATGAAACAACTTTTTTTATATAATGTAATTGTATTTTTTGATCTAATTGTTGCTTTTATTTATGTATTTTTGGTTTATTCCCTTTCCATGATAGTCTGATTGATTTTTCGAAAAAGGTCGAAACTACCCTTTAACTATTCGAAATAGAGCAAATATACCCTTCAACTATATTTTGGCTCAAAATTACCCTTTCCATCTTACTATTGGATCACTTCTACCCTTCCTTTTAACGGAGTTAGATGTGCCATTCAATGTGTAAATTATAATGTCACATAAACGTCCACCTAAGCAGATCCATCCCCACCCGTTACAAGGCCCAGGAAATTGAACACCCGTGTCAAAACGTTCATTATCATAGCGGAACCCCTTTGTCTTCGGCGAACGAAATTGAACAATACTGGAGTTATAAGTTATAATCATTAATTATCTCATCCGGATAACAGATCTCCCTTGTCGCCTGAGATGTTGACAGAACACTGGTGGTAAAATCGTTATTTCTTTCATCTGGACAACGGATGTCCATTGTCGCCGACGATAAAGAAGACATAAAGCTTCCAGAATCAAGCAGATAGTTTGAAAAATCATAGTACCCATGGCATTTCTAGCAAGATTCCCAAAACGGCACCGTCGGAGAACAACATGGTGACGGTAACAGAATCCGTCAGGTTATAAGAACAAAGCTATATTAGAAGCCATAAAAACGAAAACAGAAGTCGAACTTAACAACTTCGTCTGTTTGATGATTAACGCATTAGCAACAACGGTGAATTGTCTTCTCCTTAATGCTCTAATTGTGTGATCAAGAAGAGATCGATGGTCCAAACTCCAATACACCGTCGATTCCATGAACAGTAAGATGATTGTTCACTAAAGGTCAAGTTGCTGATTTTAACAAACCCAATTGAATTCTCTATTGAAGAAATTCATACTTGTCCAGTAGAGCTTTTGAAGAAAAAGAGCAATTGTTATTGAACATATTTGGGCAATCTCAGTGCTATTGACATTGGATAAAAGGCTGACCCAAATGAAAAGAGTTTTGAGAGTGTGGTAATGGGGAGAAAGGATGAAGGGCGTAGCGGGAATGGGAAAATCTTGGCGGAGAAAATGAAGTCTGATGCGGCCAAAATACTGCCCGAGAAATTATTGTTTATGGAGTCTATGGTGGAAATGAAGGGGAATGTTGGATCATTTAGTGGGGTGGGGTGAGTATGCTTAAGTGGACGTTTATGTGGCATTATAATTTACACATTGAATGCTAATGGAAGGGTAGAAGTGAACCAATAGTAAGACGAGAAAGGTAGTTTTGAGCCAAAATATAATTGAAGGGTATATATGCTCTATTTCAAATAGTTGACGGGTAGTTTTGATCATTTTCCGTTGATTTTTTGCACCTAATTTTAGTATAACAGCTATACTTTAATTAAGCCCTTTCATGTATAGTAGTATAAAAGTTGGGTGTATTAAGCGTCGCTATTTGTTTCTTAGCAGGCGTTTGACCATGCGATATCATATCACGATATGGTATCGTGAGATGGAATCAACGTTTGGACATGCGATTTTACACTGATTCCATCTCTTGATTCCATATCGTGAGATGTGATTCCATATTCTCCAAAAACCATGATATGGAATTATATGATAATTCCATATCATGATTTGAGATATTTTAATACAACAATTGATCCATGAGTTTATATTTTGTTAAAACAACCCCACATTTATATCTACTAACCATTTATTTCATATGTAAATAAAATTTATAATCACATCATTACTTTTAAAAATTTATTATTCTCAGCGACATAAAATTTATTATTCTCACCAACATATAGTCACTTTAACTCACCCCTCACGATTGTGAAACTTTTCAACATTCACTTGAAACAATTAACCGGCATAACCAATTGTTTAAGTGATGAAATATTTATGATCTATGAGCATGAAAATATAGTTGCGGATGATATTGACCAACAAATGGCTCAAAGTAACAATGTTGGTTCGTCTTCTCGGTTACATGATCAAGAAATGCAAGTTCAACGTGAGGAAATTGTCCGTACTATGTGGAAGGATTATATTAAAGACTAGTACACTACAATTTATGTTCAATTTTTTTATTATTAAATTAAAGTTAAATGAAACAATTATTTAAGTGGAGAACAAATAGTTTTGGAATAATTTATTATGCGATTTTATAAATTTTTGTTTATTTGATAAGATTGAATAAAC